GAGCACTCAAATGGTATGATTACAAATGGCACAAATATGGACAAATATGAAAGAGAGGAGAATAAATCACCTCCCTCCTAGTTCTCTGCTCTTGTACGACACAGAGCTCAGAATTTCTGCAATGTTCTGGAAGACAACCCATGCAGGCCTGGCGTTTCCTTACGGCTGCCTGAGTTATGCTGTCTTCATCTTTTCTCACCACCCCATGTGTATCTCATCTGATTAGACAGAAATCACCCTCCTTTAACGTCAGCTATTCCTAGTTGTCTTTACATTACCATCCTGCTACTGATTTCGCTAGACAGTCAATAAAAAGTTCATCTCCTGCTGGAAACGCCACTGGAATAGCAGCATTTGTTGCTCAACTTCATGTTTCTAGAGCACTTTCCCACTCAGGTGAAATATAACTCAAACTGAAGAGCCTGTGCATCACTTAAGTCACACTAAATCACTAAGGTTGATTAAATCCACAAATGGCCTAAGGATCAGGTATTCAGCCCTGCAGCTTTGTAACTATAACGCCAGGCTCCTTTAGTTAAGCATTAGGCTCCTCAGAAACACTCTGGTTTTTAATAATATTAAGCATTGACACCTCTTAGATTTCCACAGAACTGCTGGGAAGTCAAGATGCCTGTAAATAAAGACAACTTTTTATTATTCTTGTCTTCAGAATAACAATATTCTTGTCTAGCGTTAGTTATAGAAATAATTTAATTTATGCCTGGGCATGCTCTTCGTCATGAAAAGAAAATTAAGTTGAAGCACTGGGGACAGATACATCAGCCATTTATAATGAGCTTCAACTGCTCCGTTTTTCAAGTATCCTTCCTCAAAACCCAGTGCCAGAAATATCACCTCAATAGCCAAAGTCAGCTAGATATTGCTGAGTTTGCCCCAACAAGCTGCAGGAGCTCCTGATCTCAAGCAAGCACCACCTCCTCCCTCAAGAGTCAAGCTGAATGGTTTCAAAGCATGCCCAAACATACATAAATGAGTAACTGCATGCATGTATATTTTATTTGGTTTTAAAATTCATATGGGGAGTACTAGTGAAAATAAGTAGGAGTGTACATATCAAGAGGAAAAGAGGGGAGATGACTTTTAGTAATTTTCAGTATTTTCTGCTCCCTACTTCTCTAGCAATTAAGGTTTTATTTATGTAACTTTAAGACCACTACTGGTAAGATCACAATGTGTTATATGCTATACAATAATGAAAAACAGCACTGCTTTTTTTTTAAAAAAAATCCTCCTGTCATTACCTGCTCAGAATACTTGATTTATAAACTACTCGTACCTTTCTGCTAGTGCAGGAGCAGTATGAGTAACATGGAATGGGACTTACAGGTCTTAGCAAGATTTTTGCATTTTGAAATGGCTGCTTTCAGAACTGAGTGATTCCACAGTTTTGCTACAGTCCAGTCCCTGCTGGCTACTCTTTCTACTTAAAATATCCTGTCTGCTGATGTGCTCCATTAGGCAGGAATTATACTTTGTTACAGCACAGAACTGAGGGAAGAGAAGGCAGAAGCCAAGCTAACTTTGCAAGAGTATTTAAAGACAGTCTTCCATATGACAGAAGTTCATGTGAAATGTTAAAAGCTAGTCTTGAATCTGAGCTAAGAACAAGGAGAATTTTTAACATGCTTCCATGGCAGCCAACCACCTCTTCCTTACTTGTATTCTCCAGCTGAGGGACAGTCCACTCTGCACACAAATGGAATAACAGGGCATGGGGGGGAAGTCTGAGAATTGAGTTATTTCTGAACTCCACGAGATTCAAGCCAACAGTCCAACACTGACAAACTCTCTACCCTGCTACTACTAACATAAACCACCGCAGGCAATCTCCTCTCTGTGGTTTCTTAAATTATTCTGCCCATGCTTGTTCTCAACTCCAGTGCTTTTGTTTTGTTATTTTACTGCACCTTCTTTAATCCAAACCATTTATTTGAACACAACAATAAATTATTGATTCCAGTGTATTTGTTGATGTCAATGGCAGTTGCAGCCACTTTGAGAGGAAGGCAATCGATAGTGAATGGAAATCATGTGACCGCATGAACACGGCATGCCCTGGAGTCACATACGGCCTCTGGGGCCAATCGGCTCTCAGGTCATTGAAAAATAGCGAGGATCAACTGATACGTAAAGCTGTATCACTTTATTTTAATGAAAAAGCATGCTAAACAAGTGAAGCAAACCCACAAATGAATGCAGATGTAATAACAAAAAGGAGGAAGATGATACCACGACTTAGATTGTCAAGCAACTTCATTTTCACTCAATGCTGACTTTGTTTCTGTTTTCTTTCACCTCCTTTAACTAAGAATGAAAGTACACCCATGATCCATTTCTTGCAACATGCAATCACTCTCTCTTCTGACTATCAGAACCCTAGCTTTCCACCTCTGGCCACTAAATATTCACATCATTATACTTGTTCCACCAAGCAGTACAGTATCTATACCACGATCTAGATACAAGCCATACGTATGAGCTTATATAACTGGTTAAATTATTTGTAATAGGCCCAGGTCCTTCCATCCAGGATGAATGACACTGTAGAAGTGTTGACACGTAAAAAAGGATCAAGTAGTCCTTCAGTGATTTTATTTAATCATCCCTGAAGCAAAGACTGGGGACTTTCCAAACACACAGCACATGGAAAACACAACCAAGCGGCCTTACAATTAACTTGTACGGAACACTGCATTATGGAGCGCCGCGATGAGCGCTGACCGTTCGTTTATTACTCTAAAACGCGTTAACTCCTCTCACGTTGCTTTAGAGCGCCCGAGGCTGTTTCTAGATTACAAACAGCTCCGCCAACTTTACATAACAGCACCCTTCCCCCGAGAAACGGCCGGCTCCAAGGCCGGGGGGTGATGGGAGCCGAGCGCTGTCCGCTCCGGCACCCACCCCGGGAGCTGTCCCCTTCAGCACCACCCCGGGAGCTGTCCCCTTCAGCACCACCCCGGGAGCTGTCCCCTTCAGCACCACCCCCCGGAGCTGTCCGCTCCAGCACCCCCCGCCCGCAGCCAACGCGGTTCTACCGGCACCAGCGCGGATCTACCGGCACCAACGCGGATCTACCGGCACCTCGGGCATCGCCTACAACCTTCTCCTGGGAAAACGCGGGGTAAAAGCGAGAGGAAGTCGCCCCCCCCCCCCCCCCGGGCCGCTGCTCGCCCTGGGAGGAAGTGCTCCAAGGCAGCCGCCATTGGGGTTGCCTCCTGCACAGCCCGTGTCCTGGGTTGTGGTCTCCTTTTAGGAGCGTATCCATCACGGACACAGAAAATAAGCGCTCCTGTGCAAGAATATTTCCAGGCCCCCTCCCTCCCAGACAGGACTGCCAGCCATCACCCATGAGAAAACCACTGATGTAATGCTCTCTTCCCTTTATGCCTCTAAAGACACCAGTAAGAGGGGGCAACTGGGCTCCTAGAACACCCTCATTCCTTGTAATTAAATCCTCCCCAGTGTGAAATGAGGACATACAGGTATGGGTCATGGGTTCCCATCGGGGGTGGAATGCTGCAGTGTTACAAGGACCATGTTACACGTCTACACACGGCAGAAAGACAACCAGCGCCCCATAAACTGATCCCACGCGACCCCCCTGCACCACAGCACACATGGAAAGCTGGCGGTGGATGAACCTACCACACCTGGGATCCCTCTCCAAAATCCAGCTCAGGCCCCTTACAGAAGCCTCGCTCCAGCTGTGTTGGCCCTCGCGTGCAGGCTTTCTGCTCACACACACTCCCCTTCCCGTCAGACTTTTAGACTTTACCTCGGATCATCTGCAGCTACTGCCGTGGAGCAGCTTCCCCACCCCCACATCAGCTGGGCATAATTTGCACCAGAAAGGAAGGGGGAGGGGAAGAAGACACCCAGATTTTTAATAGAAAAAGATTCTGAACGTGCAATCCCTTCTCCCCAGCAAGGAAAAAAAATAAAATCAATCTGCCCTCACCATTCCCTCAAAATCTGTGCGGTGGAAGGAAGCAAGAGCACAAACCATGATGCCAACATCTGGGTCAGGTTGGAACCTCAAAGCCACCCCATGCATCTCCCCCACAAAACTCTATCCTCCAACTTCCCCCCCCCCCCCCCCGGCAGCAGGAGTCTCAGGATGCCGAAAAAGGGGGGGGGTGGGGGGATGTACCAGCTCTGCAGCTAGTGCTGAGGGGGGAAGGGACACCGAAAGGAACTCCACTTATCCCTCCTCTCTCCCTCCCCACAATGCAGACAAAGAGCACGGCCCTGAATTTAGGGGCCTGGGAGAGGGGCCCCGCGGGCTCCCTGGGATGTGGGATGGGTGGAGAAGGTGGCTCAGGCAGAGGGTGGGTGCAGCGGCAGATCGCCCCCCCCCCCCCCCCCAGCACCAGCCTCCCAGCCGGGGCAGCCTGACCCCGAGGCCACAGAAGCGGCTGGCGGGAGGGCTGGGGAGCCCCTTTCCCCCCCGGGGGGGGGCTCGGAGACCTCGGGCTGCAGCTGGGAGCAAGGGGGAAGAGGGGCTGGACCATCCCCCACCTGGGGCTGCGCCGGGAGCTCGGCAGCTGCTGGGGCGTGGAAAGGAGCAGGGGCACCCAGGTACCCCCTCCTTGAGTGCAGAGTGAAGGGGTATCCACCGGGGTATCTCCTCCGGGGGGAGGCGGGGGGGGGGAGAGGCTCTCTGGGCCCCCCCTCACCGCAGCCCGCTGCCACTGGAGAGGCGGATTTGGGGCAGGGGGGGGCTCCCCTTGATCGCTCCCCATGCAAGCCAAAAGCTGCCGGAAAAATCGCTCTGCGGCAAAGCCCCCGCCCGGCGTGGGGGCTGGGGGGAAGAGTGTGTGCTGCTGGGGAAGAGGAGGGGGGGGGGGGGGGGGGGTATGAATTTTTGGAGAGAGGGGGAAGAAAAAAAAAAAAAAAAAAAAAAAAAAGAAAAATTCCAAATCCGAAGAGCAAAGGCTGGGAGCCCCCCGGGAGCCCCCCGCGCCGGGGCTGTGACTTACTGTGGCCGCTGCACTAGCGCGTCTCCCGCAAGGCGTTGCTGGACTGCGGAGGTGGGGGAGCTGCAGGAGGAACTGCGGTTGTCGCCATCTTGGTGCGCTGCCTGCGCTGCCCCCCCCCCCCCCCCCCCCCCCCCCGCCCCGCCGCCGCTTAGGGAGCGTGGCAAAACTCCCGCACCGCGCGGCTGCCGTCCGCGGAGGTGGGGGGGGGGGGGCGTGGGGAAACCCCCTTCCCCTCCCCGCTGCGGGGGAGCCTGGAGGCAGGTTTCGGCTTGAAACGGGGCCGCCTCGTCCAGAGCCGGGTTCTGCCTGGGGGGGGGGCGAAGCGACCCGGCACCCCCCGCCCGCAGCGCTAGGCCGGTTTAGTGTGTATCGCTAAGCGGCGGTGCCGGTACCACGGAGCGCAGGTGCCGGCACCAGCGCCGTGGAAAAAAACCCGCGGTGCTGGACAGGGGCTGAACGTGGCTCCAGTTCCAACTTTTAGAGCCGGACTCGGTTTAGGCCGGTGCTTCTCCCCAGCCCGACGCGCTGCCCACGCGGGACGGGCGCGGAGCAAGGGCAAAAGTCCCGCACCAAACCCACCCGGCGTGACTCGGGGCAGGCGCCATCAACAGAGCACAGGGAAAACTTTGGATCAGCCAAATGCTTTTTCTTCCCTTTTTTTTTTTTTTTTTTTTTTTGATTCTCTTTACAGTTTCAGGATAAACTAAAACTTCCAACAGCCACGCACATCAGAGACCCCACCCCTGGCCTATCTGGAAACAGGAGGATTTTACAGAAGAAATTTAAAAAGTGCCAAAATGACATTTCTGCCATCCACGCGGTGATGCTCTCAGTCCGGCACATTTAGACACTGTATTGGCTTCTTCCTCCTCCCTGCGACCTGGGGCTGTCAGGTTTCTTCTCTGGGGTCCTTCCTTGGGACCTGGCAGGTTTTTCCGGGAGCGGTGGAGCTCCCCACTGCCCAGCAGCTCACTACAGAGGTAGAAGTCTACTACAGAATATTGACCTCAGCTACAACCCCACCACATACGCAGATTCCTGCTCTTTCCAGTAATATAGTGAATAAGAGAGTACTAATAACTGACCCAAGTTACCCCTCTTCATCTAAGAAAGACAACTCCTCCTTTATACACCGAATTTATGCCTCAGATGTTACGCCTATAGTTTGTGACTGCAATTTTAGGATCACTTTTTATTGTTACGTACTTCTTAATTCTTGATAAGCTCGTGCCTGCGTTGCTGAAAGAACAACTCGAAACACTGTATCAGGTTGCTGTTTTAGAAAAAATAAATCTATGCACCTTGCAAAGTGTCCTCTTCACAGAATTTTAAATCTCTGCCCTCTGCACAAGGCTTTAGGAGTTGTGTGCTGAGCAGACAAGCTAGCAGGACACAGCACTCTGCTGGAGAACTCATTTATCTTGCTTTAGAAATGACACAGGGACTAAATCCGCCCTCGCTTTATTTTGCTGACTTTTATGGGCCTACCCTACTGTAACACAAGGGCAGACACAACCTAAAAAATGTAGATATCTCAAGCCACAAGTAATCAAAAGCACTTACACACACATTAAATAAGCTGCTACAGAAAGCTACAGATTCTGAGAAATTTTCAGTCCCAACTGGACCTTCCATAGCTTGGTTCTCACTAAGACTTAAATTTCCAGCAGATGTGAAATAAATATAGGGAAAAAAAAAAAAAAAAACAAAAATCCACTGGTAACAAACTGCTGAGAAATGGGACAGCATCTCCCAAATATAGAGTGTTGAAGTGTCCAAACATAACAGTTAGGTCACATAAGAAAAAAAAAAATGCCTTGTCTACAGGGTGCTGCGCCCAGGCGAAGCTGGGGGCACGGGCCAGGCGGCAGAAGGCAAACCGGCCCCGGCTGGGAAGGCAGCAGCACAGCCCGGCCTCCAAGTAGGGCACCCAGCGAGCCGCTGGCAACCGCGGGCACCCGCGTCCCTCCGGGGCGGGCCACGCACCAGAAATACTTCAAGGACGCTCTGGGGCCCCACGGGTGTTATTACAGTTTGTATAAGATCTTTAAGCATGGCGCTTAAAGAACTAAATAGGTCGACACCCTCCGAGGTTGAACAGCGATAACAGAACTCGAAAAGCCTCCCGATTGACCCAAGCGATCCTGGCACAGCCTAGGAGAGTCTATCCCAGGTAAGAGGCATGAAGTTCTGCGGAACTCCTCTGCAGTTATACTTTCAGAGGCTGCCCCATCCACCCCCCCCATCAGCCGTCGGAGCCGCCCAGTTCATTGTCTCAATCTAGGTCAAAAGAGAACCCTCAGGAAGTGAGCACACTCCCAGTTTGAAAGTACTTACAAAGTAATGCTGCCTTGTAAAGCAGATAAATATTGCAACTGGAGTTAATGCTTTTGCTTGCCTGTAATCAGAACAGTAAAGCTAATAAAAATGATAAAACCCCTCTTGGCTTAAAAGAGAACGAAACCACCCAGAACTTGGGCAACAGAAAGAAGAGAATTCTGTAATTCTTGAGCTGAGTAACTGCCTGGCACTGTGCTGTCTCTTTAAGAAGTACACAGCTGCTCAGTACAAAAAAAAAAAAAAAAAAAAAAAAAAAAAAAAAATTGCTTGATAAGGATACTGCCTTTTCCTTATTTCATCATTACAGCCCTCACTGCTCCCTTCACCTTCGGTGTGGTGACCTCTGCATCGCCCGGGCTGTCACACCCGTGCCCCTGCAAAGCACGCAGGGTGTTTGCTTCTCTACCGGTACGCAGGTGAGCGTGCCCCTTTGCTACAGCGGGCGCCAGGCAAAGCCGACTGGAGCTAAACCCAAGCTTAGCAGCTGGAACGACTGTGTCGTTTAAACAGGTTGTTCCCTGTGGATGGCAGGAGGGATTGCCGCAGCCTCCAAGCCGCCTCCCAATCCTTTTGCTACCCAAGTGGACGGCGTTCTGAAGCAAGCTCTGGGGCACCCAGGTGAGCACCGACACCTGCAAGCTGCTGGGAGAGGCGAGCGGTGCGGCGAGAGATAACGGGAGCCGCTCACCGGGGCGCTGGGACGGCAGCCACAAAACTGATAAGCGAAATACTCGTGGGGCTCGGAACGGTTGTTGCTCCCAGCTAACAGGCTCAAAGCAGGCAGGATCTGAGCTTTCAGACTGGACCTAGTCAAGTGTTTACGTGCAGGCAATCCAGAGCAAACAAGCCCCGAGGTTCCCAGGTAAGCCCAGCCTAGCTCCGCTCGCTCCGGGTCCCCTCCCGCGCCGCGCAGCCACCGCGTCGCCGCTTTAAGAGGGCGCCCGGCCGGACAGAGGGGACAGACAGACAGCCGTACACATCCGGTTCAGAGGCGGCCCTGGCAGCCGCCCAGCAGCCTGCGGGACGGGGCAGGGCGAGGATGTCGCCCGACAGCGGCCCCCTCCCCTCCCAACCGCCCGCGGGGCTGGGGCTGGCCCCCTTCCTCCAGCGATGCATTCAGCTCCTCCTCTTGCCCATCCACCTCCTTGCCTGCCTGGGCTTATGGGACTCCTTCTATAAAAAAGCCTTCCCATACATCATGGCCAAGGTGGCACCCATCTACAACCGTAAGGTCTACAAGCAGAAACAAGAGCTGTTCAGCAACTTAAGAAAATTCACAGGCCCATCGGGCCAGCTCACGCTGCTGGAAATCGGCACGGGCACCGGCACCAATTTCCAGTTCTACCCACCGGGCTGCCGGCTGACGTGCACCGACCCTAATCCCAATTTCAGCAAGTTCCTCCTCAAGAGCCTCTCGGAGAATCGGCACCTTCAGCTTGACCGTTGGGTGGTCGCTTCCGGCGAGGATCTGCGTCAAATCCCGGACGGCAGCGTGGACGCCGTGGTGTGCACCTTGGTGCTGTGCTCTGTCCCCGACGTCCCCAAAGTGCTGATGGAGGTTTTGCGAGTGCTCAGGCTGGTAAGCTGGGGCAGAGCGAGGGAGAGCGGGGATGCTGATTTGTGTTGTGATAAGCCAAGCTGTGGGCACTGACCTACATTTAGGATAAATGCAATCACCTGCACCAGGCCAAGGAGGAGTTTATAAAAATCAACCACTGTACCCACTTATCCACTCACAAGTAATTTTCTTTTACGCTGCTTCACCTGCAGGTGAAAGAACCAGCTCAGCCTGCTTTGCCTCTTCCTCCACAGCCAGCAGAAGGTCTGGTGCACCTGCGAGATGGTGCTGATTGCTAGGGCAGGTGGGAGACACAGCTACTCAATCCAGGCAGCCTGGTTCCTGCACTTGCAGCTGGGCAACCCGCAAAAGCTCCAAGGTCAAAGCTGTGTCAGAAAGAAAAAGGAAAGAAACAAAACAAAGCAACACCCCAAAACATAGCCCAAGAGGTGCTGGGAGCGAGGAGGAGGAGGAGCAGAGCAGTACCGGATAAGCAGGATTACTGCAGTACAAGGGTTGAATATGGGGGGGGGAGCAGAAAGCAGCGTGCATTGTAACACGGAAAAATTATTAACAACAAATTCAGTTCATAGCTGTTGTGTATTCTCTGGTAATTCTCTTATCTTTAAAATTTGTCCACCTAAGAAGGTATTTTCATTATAATCTAAGGTGGCACTTGGAAAATGCCCCATTTACACACCACCCTTCCAATACTTTTTTTTCTCCAGTTATCTCAGGATAACTGGGGAAGAGTTTAAATTAAACTTAACACAAATCCTATCCACACAGGTGAGCTCTATCTGTGTAACTAGCCAGAGCCTCCACGTGTAAACGAGCCCCACATGTGGCTGAAAGCCTAATTAATTCCCTGAGGCAATCCTGTATACTCTTCCAAAGCAAAACTAGGGAAGAGGGAATAAGATCATACCCAACACACTCCACTAAGAACAGGAAGGAAAGAGCAGCTCTGAACCCTTGACTTCTCTGTTTGGCCCCGCTGAAAAAAATTCACAGGAATAGTTTGCTTACAATACTAGATTTGCTTTTAATCTGTTATTTATAAACATGGAAAGATGTTGAACAGATGTGGTCAAAGACACGATTAAACATTGATGGGGTTCACAAGGCTGACACTGACAAAATGATTCCGCGCTACATCTACTAACTGGAGCCTGGGACACTACATTTCTGCTTGCTAAGGCTACCTCACGTGTTTTATAACCCAAGGAAGTTAAAGTTTGTCCAAGATTATCCAAGGCAGAGACACAAAGCCAGCGGCAGCAGCTCCTGCCGTCAGACCGTACAGCCTCCTGCACAACCCTAAGTTGGGCCCAGTAAACGTCTGGTCACCCAGTAACAACCACCAGCTCCAGTGAAAGCTGACTGGGAGGCGCTTTTAGAGACTTCACAGTTCAAAACAAACACCACTCAATCCTGCATAACATCTAGGAAAGGAGGCTGGTCTTCGGAGAGGTGATAAAAGGCAGCGTGTTTGCTAATATGCAAAAGATAAAATTCTGCACACTGAGGTGAACAGCCCCTCAGTCCTTTTAAATTTATTTATTTATTTATTGGCACTGTTTTCCAGGGTGGAGCTTTCTACTTCTTGGAGCATGTGGCTGCAGATCACTCCAGCTGGACCTACTTTTGGCAAAAGGTCTGTGACCCAGTCTGGAAGTATTTTGGAGATGGGTGTTCCCTGAGCAGAGAGACACAGAAGGAGCTGGAGAAAACTAATTTCTCAGAACTGAATTTGAGGCGCATTCATGTCACACCTTACTGGACTCCTACTAGTCCTCACATCATTGGCTACGCAGTAAAATAAATGACCGTGAGCACTGTGGGACATGGGACGTCCCTTCAGTACTCCTTTCACGCTTTATAGAAGGTTTTTCACCCTTACAATCAGCCCATGTGCAGTAGCTGGCTACCCAGAATGAAAGTATGGAAAACTTCCTGAGCATCCACCGCTCGTGCAAACTGGGAGTCACATTCTTGCATTTCTTATATAGGTTTTCTGGATAGAGCTCTCAAATAGAGCTGCTGCACGGGAACCAGGCAAACTGGAAAGAAGTCTAGCCAGCACACTTCAGTCCAATACAAAATAAAGGAGGCGTCAGGATCTTAAAGGGTTGAGAAGGGGGAGGGGGAAGAAAAGGAACAGGAGATAGATGCAAGCACGTACAGAGGGCTAAGGTTTTTCTAGGGAATGTTAGTCCTCTAATGTTTCCAATACAGGACACATGCATAATAGCTATGGCATCAGTACGAGCATTTTCATTTCAGTCTTCCCATTATGGAAAATATTTACGAGCAGGCGTTCATTCGCCCGTGCCAGTACAGCCCTCCCTGACAGAACTCTGGTTTATTCAGGGAAATGCTCATTACAACACCACTTCTCCAGGCACAGCTCTCACTGGCCATGAGATGCTAACGCTGGCAGCGCAGATTTAACTTGAAACAGCCACCTAGAAAGCAAAAAATGGAACTTCTCTTTACATTGGGAGAAAATTGGCATATAATAAATCAGATGACAGAAATCTCACCTGTGCTGTAAAATGCTGTTACTAGATCAGCCATGTCCTCAAAGCCCTTTTGTCATGCATTACTAACATGTTGTACCTATTCTTAAACTCCTCATTTTCTCCTCTCCCTCCAATCTAGATAACACCTTAGAGAGGTCTCTTAAAAGCAAGAAGTTTCGTTAGAAATGTTTTCCAGTGAAACTCCCCTAGGACACCAAGAGAAGGTGCTGCTCTCTCGGCCCCTGTTTAACCTTTCCTCTGATTTCCTGCAGTATAGGAGCAAGGAATTAAAACCTGGTGGAGATTTTACTTATAACAAAATAATGGATTAATGTCTTTATTTTGTGCTCCATACACATCCAACTGGTCTACGCAGAAAGTAATTCCCATTGTTCAAATTTGTTTCTCTAGTGTAGTTGCCACAAGGTGGAGGTATGAAGGTATGATAACAGAGTTCGTTAATAAAGCAGTCTAATAGCAGTGCTGCCGTATGCTAGATTTTATATTTGCTTTATTACCACTAGAGGGAGGAGGTAACTCATGGGACAGAGGGACTACCTATCACTCCACAGAAAAACAAAATTCCCCAATGCAATTCACAACAGAACTGCCTTTATTAGGGACCTTAAGTCCTCCTTCCCTTATACTAGGCTCACCTGGAGCACAGCAATTAAATGCTAGTGGCTAATCTACTCTGCTACCAAGTCCTTTGAAAAAGCACTGGCGATGGCAAAGTTGAAATCATTTTACAGAATGCATTTAGCATAGAACAGACCGTTCATTGTTGACTCAAGCTTAGGAAGGTAATAAACCCAAGCCATGTACTGTATGCAGCGATTACTGAATAAATAAATTGTTTTATCTCTGTTCCATGATTCCCATCAAAGGTCTGAAAGATAACTAAGAAAAGCAAGGTCATTCACTGCAAAGGAGCCCATAGGCACATGTTCTGTGATTGGTGTAATACATACACAGAACTTGCTCAACATTAGTAGCTAAATGTGCTGAAGCCTCAGGCCACAAGCTGTGGACTTTCACCTGGTCATGTAAAAGGCCCCAGAGCTGGCTCAAGCCAAAAGATAAAGAAGCTAAGTCATTAACAGAAGCTGCAACTTTAGAGATAAGGAAAGAAACCGCCTGCCTAGAGACAATGAAAGAACCCAGTGAAGAACAGGCAGACCCCAGACCCTAATACCACTACTGGTCTGAACTACTGTGTGAGGGGGGGGGAAATCTAGATTGTAGGGGTATAATTGCCCAGGGATTTCTTTGTTCAGGGTCCCTCTTTAGAGGCACCCAGCTTGAACTGTAGTGCTATTAATAAAAAGGACTTGATAAAACAATCTCCTTTTGGCTTATTGATTCAGCGTAAACCTAAAGTGGAAGCCTGTTATGGTGGCTGGCATGGGTCATTTCCAAAACATGCATACCAAAGTGTTTTAGGTGTTCACAAAGTGGAAAGACTGAAAACTGCCGTTGCAGAGAGCACAGAGCAAGCAGCTGACTACATCCAGCTACCTAGAACAGGGTGGTAAATTAACTCTTAAACAAATGTGTGTTTTAACTGAAATGTTAATCAGACTCCTCATGAAACTCCTACAGCAAATGCAGAGTTCAAATCAAGTTCCCTCAGCTCACTAAGGACAACATACGGTTCTTTTAAGAAATATGACCTGTGACTGGACACCACGTATTTGCTGAACACCAAATTAGGGCAACTCATGACATTTTGCCAGCGGTTCCATAGAAAGTTGTACCGCCCAGTTTGTGCCGATTACGTAACAGACTGGCAGCTCCTGTTCTGCCAGAGCTGGGACGCCACAGCAACTGTTTGGTATGCAGTCCTGCTTTTCCCTTCCTTGCCTGTGACCAGACTTGGAACTCAGCTTTAGAGAAAAGTCTACGCGATCAATCCAAGGAGCTGAATATACTTCAAGAGGAACACGACAAGTACATGAATGCAGCGTCTGAATTTCAAGCGCTCTAATACACAGAAGAACTAGTTTTGCTCAGTGCAGATCCTCTGCTCCACGCTGGAAATGACGGAGGCCAGCATCCTCTTCTTCCGTGCCTGCCTCGCTCTGCTTGCCATGCCTGTCTACCTACTGTCGTTGCTGGGCATGTGGGAGCCTTTCTGTAAAAAGGTATTTTTTCCTTTCTTCTTAGAGAATTTTTCTACAATTTATGAAAGGAAAACAAAGAAGCAGAAGCAGGAGCTATTTCGTAATCTACCTGACTTTGCAAGCCCTTCTGGAGAGCTGAAGCTGCTGGAGATCGGGACTGGCTGTGGTACCAACTTCCAGTTCTACCCACCAGGCTGCAAAGTCACGTGCACTGACATAAACCCCAACTTCCAGCAAGGCCTTGAGAGAAGCATGAACAAGAACCAGCACATCCACTACGAGCGTTTCCTAGTAACTGCAGGAGAAGACCTGCACCAGGTGCCCAGCGGTTCCGTGGATGCTGTCATCTGCACCCTGGTCCTCTGCTCTGTGCACAACGTGAACAACACCCTGAAGGAAGCACTGCGAGTGCTCAGACCAGTGAGTATCTGAGTAAAAAGTTTTGTTATTACCTTTATCATCTATTCCAGGGGCACTGCACCAAAAGAAAAGAAAAAAAAAAAAAGGAAAAAAATAATTGGTTTTGAGCTGCCAAACCAGACCCAGTTTACTTCACTACCACCTCTATGCATTGCTAACTAGTGCAAAGCAGTGGCAATGTTAACGGTCAGTCTGTCCTAGTCTTAAAAATAAAACCCTAAAAGTAACAGCCTGCTATCTAGAACTGCCACTAAATTTGCAAGTAATTATGGTATATTATTTAAAGCAGAACTAGTTCCTGTAGTGTTCTCCCTCCCCACACACGCCAGATTTTCTTTGGGTGGGAAGCTTTCTGATCGAGACTGAAAGTCTGCATTTTAAATAAACTGCTTTAGCCTCTTAGATGTGGGGCTGATCTACCTGTATAACTAACAGTTTAATTAAATGCCTTCATTCCCTATAGTGTACTAATCAAGCTAAAGATTGAAAAAACCTGTTTTGTTGGGGTATTTTTGCAACAGACTTTCAGCCTTTAAAATGGCATTTTCAAGACGATCCTCTGGGTTGTCAAAGACTGAGGAATTTGAGCAGGTTTTATGCATTTCTCTTGGTTTCCTTTGAAAAAAATGACATGCTAGCAACCGTAACTGAAACAAAAAGACAACAAACCTTTGCTATAATAAAAGAGGGATCAAACAAGTACATCCTTCACGCTTTCTGAATAGTCATTTTGAATCTCTGCAAATTTCCTGCTTACATTAATTCCAACTGACACCAGAAAAGCAAAAAGCAGGCAGGCAAGGGGAGAATACTGATGAGCGAGCAGACTGCACATGCACTGGTGGGTATTTGTGAGGAGGTGGGATGGAGGGAGAAGTTTGGCCTAACCCCAGCACCCGCTGCGGCTCTGTAAGCAGATTTTGTTTTCCCCCAGGGAGGCGCTTTCTATTTCCTAGAGCACGTGGCCGCCGATCATTCCAGCTGGACGTATTTTTGGCAGCAGGTCTGCTATCCGACTTGGAAACTCGTCTTTGATGGATGCTGCCTAACGAGAGAGATATGGAAGAATCTGGAACAGGCCAGCTTCTCGGAGCTGAACTTACAGCACATCAGCGTGGCGCTGCCCTGGATGCCCATTCAGCCTCACATCATGGGGTACGCTGTGAAGTAACTCACCCCGCTCTGCCAGGCCTTCTCCCCTGCCCCTCCCCGAAACTCTTTGGTATAATAAACGCAAACAACACTGCACAGGCTAATCCAGATGTCTAAAGCTAGTTAATACTGCGAAAGACTTTAACTTTTGGATTCAAGCGCCAGAGGAGCGCTTTTCCAAACCTCTCTGAAGCTGTCGCGCGGCTGACTATGCCTTGCCAGACCCCAGCACAGCCCATGGAGGATGCCAGGAGGAGACTGCAGAATGCAAACCAGCCCAGCAGGGAGGAAAAAATGGCAAAGCAGGAACTTAAGGGAACTTCTGCCTACGTCTGGGTGGCTCTGGGACAGGATTCCTTCAGGTGTTTCCCACGCTGGGCAGCCCGGGCTCCGTGAGGCATTGCGCACTGCTCCCCTCTCCCCACGCTCCGCCAGAGCCGTTCCCGTTCAGCCTCACAGAACGAGCAGTCAGATGCAAAACCTCCACAGCCCGTTTGGCTCAGCCGCGCGTTAATTACCTACAAAAATCCGGGGGGGGGGGGTGCAAGGGGAAGAGCAGGCACGCACCCCGCCTCCCCACATAGCGCTCACCAAAGCCTCCCGGTCGCTTGGCTGCCCGCCCGCCCGCCCCTGCGCCGTCACCGGTTCTAACGCTGTTCGCCACCGGAGCATTAAAAAGATTCGTGTTTAAACGTTACGCGCTCGGGAAGTTTCTTCGCGCGGTGCCGCGGCCCCGGCGGGACCCGCCGCCGCCGCCGCCGCCTCAGCGGCCGTTGGCAGCGCCCCCGCGCGCCGGCCGCCATTTTGTCCCCCTCGACGGAGGATGCGGCGGGGGCGGCCCGCGCCGGCCCTGGGGCTGCTGCTGCCGCTCCTGGCGAGCTCCCTGCCCGGGGTGGCGACCCCCCTGCCCGGGGTGGCGACCCCGAGGGCTTTCCCTGAGGGTACCGGGGCTGTGCCGGAGCAGCGGGGGTGGGGAAGGGCCGGGGCGGGCAGTTGAAGGGCGTGAGAAGGCTGGGCCGGGGGAGGTGGGGGGGGGGGGGCCAGGCTGTGGTGGCCCACAGCTCCCCACAGACGCCTGGAAGAACTTAATCGACACCTAAATCTGATGAATTCGTACCGCAGCAGCGGCTGGAGCCCGCTTACCCTCCACGTGCACAATAAACCCCTAGCCAAGAAGCAGAAGTGTGAGCAGACGAGATGCACACATTTCATACGATCCAAGAAAACAGCCCCAGGATCTCCCGGAGCTGGGCTCCAGCTGCAACGGTCCTGCAGCAAGTAATGCTTGTAGATTAAAAAAAAAAAACAAAAAAAACCCAAAAAAGCAACAAAATGAAACAAAACCCCAATTCCCAAAATGCCGCTAGTGCACCATAAGCTCCGTTTTTTACCTTTGGAGGGCATAACGGACTGTTCTGTTTTGCAGAGTGCGGGCAACGGCCGCTCTTAGACAACGTCTCGGGATCGCGGATCGTAGGCGGACACGACGCCCGGATCGGAGCGTGGCCGTGGTCGGTTAGCCTCCAGATTCACCGAGCTGGGGGACAATTTGCGCACGTTTGCGGCGGAGTTCTAATTAATGCGAATTCAATACTCACCGCTGGCCACTGCGTTATAGGAAGGAAGTACGTATTCCTGCCAATACCCCTTTGTATTAACTAGGAGGAGGGTGGATCAGCAAAGCGGCGCCTGTGGTGCCTCTGAACAAAAGGCAAATCCAGGGGCCATGCCCGGCCCGAGCTCTCAGAGTGGGGAATCCATCTGCAGACCCAAACCGTGCAACTCCAGTTTAGCCAGGAGGGACTGACTGGTCGTGGCTCTAAGGACCAGACTGTCCCCTTTGTCATGGGCGGCTGTGGTGAGGGCTGCCAGCCCAGCACGGGATGCCAAGTTACATCTTTATAAACCAATATCAAGATGTCTTGGGTACGTGCTCCTGGCTGGGCGCAGAACAACCTTCGTTATTTTTAATAAAGAGTTCTTTGTTTCTCATCTAGGTGACATTTTTGTTATGTTGGGGGGCTTTTTTTTTTTTTTTTTTTCACGGAGCTCTAATTTTTCTGGTTAATAGATTTTGCTAAACTAGCAAAGCTCACTGTAAAAATAAAAAATTGCAATATTTCAATCAGAAACATTGGCATTCATTAGTTTTAACACTACTTCCATTTTTCCTGTTTAACAGAACCAACACTTTGGCACCTAACTACTATTTTTTTTTTTTTTTTTGACAATGTGGTAATAACACTCCTCAGAACAGACCCTTTGATCGTATTTAAAGCAATTCTGCTGCGTTTCAGCTATATCATCACTGTTGTCTTTTCTGTAGTTTAATACAGTAGCAGAAGCTGCATGCTAGTTCATGCAAGTTCATATTGACTGTGTTGATATAACTATGACCTGAGGGAAACAGAACTGTAAAAAACACTGAACTTGGGAATTTTATTATTTATCAGGACTTTGTTAGATCAGCTCCTTGTTTCTTTAAATGCACTTTAACAAACAATTTAGAGAGGCACTATATCGCAAAGAATCAATTTTTATCTTACACTCTGGAGAATTTTGGAGGTTAATCTGAATTTTATAGCCTGCCCTTTGCTCATCACAGGCCAAATTAAATTCCCACTTAATATCAGTAAAGACTTTTTTCAACATACTTGAACAGAAATTAGATCTGAATGACTCCAGTCCTATTTCTAAATTTAATATTCATTATTTGTAACTTCTAGTTAATGGATTTCCCAAATCTACAAGCACAATCTGTACAAGCACAGTCTTCATAAGCACTGTGGGTATAAACCTACATTCTTTCTGCAAAATAAATCCATGTTTTTATCTTTTTCAAAAGAGTATCTCCCGGGTGGCCTCTGCTGAGATGGGGTGGGAAGCAAACTCTGAGTACCAGCTTAAATCATTAATCTGACTTTGCCTTAACAGCCATAACCAGTATTAGGCAAACTGAGTTTGAAAACAGAGAGAATGGTAATTAGGCGAATATGTTCCAGAAAATATTTACTACAGAATTTTCAATGTATATTCCTGAAGGTGTGTAAGCCAACAGTAAAACAATAGGTTAAAGCAATGCCCTCAAGAAACGTATTTACATTAACAAAATTGTAAAAAATACGTTCTCTCTTAGGGACCCATATTCCTGGAGAGCTGTTTTGGGTGTGCATAACCTTTGGCAACACGGTGAACACACAGCAAAAAGGAATATTAGAAGCATCACTGTGCACCCAGAATTCCAGACAGAAACATTTGAAAATGATATTGCATTATTTGAACTCGATTCTGCAGTACGCTACAGTGACTATATTCAGCCTATCTGCCTTCCCCCTCCACACCTGTACCGGTACATTGACAATGAAACAGAATGCTTTATCAGTGGCTGGGGACGTACAGCAGAAAAAGGTAAAGATTTGTTTGCTTGTTGATCAACTTGTAAGCTACATAATATCAGGTTCCAGTCCCTCAAACTCACTGAGAGAGAACTGAATTTGTTCAGGTTATAGTCTCATCATACAATATCATTAAGTCCTCCTGCAACTGAGTATCTGCTTTCAGTGTTTTTTCCACTGCAAGCAGATTAGCGCTACATGGATGTAACCAAGGGCATAAATTTTCTAGCCTTTCTTCCAAGTATAACATGTAAAAAGGAAAATAAACCAGCCTGACTTTCAGATTCATGGTACAGCTGCTCAGTGTTGTCTGCTAGAAATAGCTTTTCTTATTGAAACAATTCTGATGCCGTGCATTGTGAACTTTGGGGTCCCCATGTATTTTATGAGTGGCTGCACTGCCTCAAGTTCTGTCGTTAATCACCATGAGCACAAACTCGATATGATGGCAGTTGGCGGGGTGCATCTTTCTGGTGTGGAAATTTCAAAGAGCTGGGGAGCATATAAGCTTGTTTGGTATGTCACCTCTGACATTTTGAGCAAGGCTAACGTGCAGTATTGTTGTTTCTTCGGAATAAGAATTGCAAAAACTACATCAAATCCAAATCTACAGATCCTTAATCCACTTAAGTTTAAATCCATTAGAAGATGCACAATCTACATTATGGGTATGTCTAAACACATACAGAAACATGCTTAAGCTAGCTAAACAGGAAAAAAAGAGCACAGTAAGAGCTGCTAAGCACAACAGCATAAATATTTTACCTTTCTATATGCTGTCTTCCATTAAAGGTCAAACTTCATCTGTGTTAAAAGAAGCACAAGTGGACATCATTCCTTCTAGTGTCTGTAATGATTCTGATGCGTACGGAGGTCTGATCAACAACAACATGATTTGTGCTGGCTCTCACTCAGGAGGCACCGATACCTGCCAGGTAAGAAGGAGCCCTGCCCGGCTGGAACCCCCCAAGCCAGAGTCCCAGGGGCATCATGACCACCAGCATTTGTAGCATAATTAAAACGGCACAAGTACTAAACAGAAAACATGTCAAACTGCAAAAGAAGCATCGTAAATGGAGAGGCGAGATGGTGATTCCGAAGAAAAAACACACCTCAAAAACATACACAAGGAGTTCAGCAGACAAGTTAACAAAGTGAAAGGATAAAGAACACAAACATATTTATACAACACTCGCCACAAAGATGCCAGGAAGTTATATATTACACAACCACAGGTATGGATACACACAGGTATCACTGTACACGCAGTGCCTGTGAAGCACACCAGCATCCTGCCTGTCTTTATGGTTCTGAAAGGGAGCCGCAGCATTGGAAAGTGATACGGTTCAGTGATATGGCAAGACTTGCATTGAAATGCTGAGCGATCAGCATCTCCTTCTCAGAAAGGACAATTCTCAGGTCAAGAGCACTAGTATGCAAAAGCTGGGGCACCAGTTGTGATGCGGAGACATGTATAATTAAAACCCATAACATATTCATCAGTACTTTGTCTGATACACTTCCTGCTTTCCTCAGCAGTTTTCCTTTAAGTGATGTGGCAAAGATTGAGGGTTGTGTATTTGTTACCGTGTTTCCTGGTACTTGCACAGGGAGTGCACAATATATTCACGTATTAACTGACGAGCGAGAAAGTTTAGGGAGATGATCCTTAGAACAAAAAGGTGCAGAAAGAAAAACAACAACAGAACTTTAGTTAAAGACATGGAAACTGATGCAGGCACGGTGTTCTAGGCAAGGCAGCATCAACCAGCATCACCAGATTTTATCTTAATTTGTCTATGTACTATTATCTATGCATTACTGTCATTATTACTGTCCAGTTAACTTAGCTGATTTAAAAAAAGGTTTTTTTTTTTAAAAAAAGTGGATGCATTACTGACTTAATTCTACGTTGTTTCCTAGAAAGGAATATATGCTACTAGTGTTTCATATTGTTTATTTATAGGGAGACAGCGGTGGACCTTTAGCGTGCTATCACTCTAGTACCAGCACATCCTATCTCATCGGGATTGCTAGCTTTGGAACTGGCTGTGGCCGACCAAAGCTGCCTGGGATCTATGTCCGTTTATCGCAATACAGAGGATGGATAAAATCTCAACTTCTGTTGAGTAACGAGGCTGTGAATCCCGTGAGCGTTGGACTTACCGTCTTTCTGACTGTGATACGTACGGTACTTGCGTAGACTTGCTAAAGGGACAAACCATCGTGTCATCATCGGAGAGGTTTGGTCTCTCTGTTAAAACTTTGAAAAGAGAGCTAACTCCTGTTTCAGAATAAATCTAAGAGCCAAAGGAGATGCATGTATTTTTTAGAAGTCTTGTTTGCAATTGCATTATCTTTTTTATTTTCTGCCTTTGATATCCATACTACCAGTAGAAGAAATGATAACAACCTTGACCTTAGTAATGAAACTGAATATAGAAATGTTACCAACTGAAAACACTTTTTTCCCCACCCTATTTCTACGCCTTCCAGCTATGGGGAGCTTAGGTACTACCGCGAGTTGGTAGATGGCAAAGATACTCCCTCTGCTGGGTGAGTACCAGCAGAACACAAAATGTCTTTCGTTAACTGACTCAGCTCAATCAAAACTAAAAATGAAAAAAAAAAAAAAAACCAACCCAAACCAAAACCAACTGCAAAAATATACAAGGGATTCTTCACTTATTATTTTTAGTGACGACTAAAATCCATGCACAAATAACTTAGTACTTTGACTGCTGTGGCTCGATACAATATTTATTTGTGGCCACTGTGAAAGACCTGATACCATACAACGTATGCACATTTGGTCAGAATCACTGCAGTACTATGTTAATTAAAAATAAAGAAAGAACATCAGAATTGTATTTTGGCGACTTTATTTACCAAGGTCGAAATTTGCAACCATCTAATTGTTTCAACAAATATTTACAATTCATAGAAAGCATGTACTTTTGTTTGGAAATAACCAGCAGAACAGTATTAGGTACTATATCTCTTACTCTCAGGATATAGATTTATACTCTCTTACAATCTAGATTTTGAAGTAAATCCAAAATAAGTACTTCATGATAAGTGATTACTTAAAGAGCAAACTCATGTTACTGTTTAATATTTCCATGATGAAAAATAAGCTGCTCTTTCCAAAACACTATTTTAAGAGGATAAAAATTTACTAACCTTATGTCTGGCAGCACTACATTTGTTTCACTTGCTGAATACAGAAAGAGTTGGCCACCATTTTTTTACAGTCTTAACACTTGATAGCTTTTTTTCATTATTATTCCGTATTACAAAAGAAGGTAAAGGAACAACAGCACACAGCGAGGATCAAAATACCATACAGAGGAATTACCAAATTAGTTTCAGTACTGTAGGTCAAACCCTCTTAAACATATGCCAAATAGCGTACGCACACCTGATGGGAGACAGCGGCAAGGTCCAATTCTCTGAGGTGCTAAGCACGTTCCAAGGTGTTCTTTTTCCTGAAATTCCACTAACAGAAACAGGTGGCACCAAGCACCTCTTCTGGAGCAGTTCCCAAATGCAATGCCTTTCTCAACCTTGCTTGTTATTTTTGACGTGCAACAAAAGCACTCTTTTTTGACATGATCGCGACCAGAAACGTATATTCCAGTTTGGCCTAAAGGAAACGTATTGTGGATCACGTCCGTAACAATCATATACTTAGAAACTTCTGAAAAAAAATGTGTTTTTATAGCCCGCTAACAGTGTGATTGTGGAATGCAGTCTTTCTCATACCATTTGCAAGGAGCTCTGCTTGCTAAGTCCATTAATTCAAAAATGAGTAAAATAAAAAAATACTGACTGACCATATGATAAGCGTTACACATCTAGGGAGTGAGTACATCTCTTAATTTCATTCAGATCTGAGCTAGCACAACACACACACGGAGCTCTAACACCTTTTTAATAGCATAGTCCATAGTGCAATTCCCGCTGACATAACTGGAAGCAGGATTCAATCCTAACTATGGAAAATAGTGTATTTATTATTCATGCAATAAGCACTGCATACACATTTTTCTATTTCACAGAATCACAGAATGGTTGCGGTTGGACGGGACCTCGGGAGGTCACCTTGTCCCAGCCCTGCTCAAGCAGGGTCACCCAGAGCAGGCTTGCCCAGGACCACGGCCAGACGGCTTTTGAGTATCTCCAAGAATGGAGATTCCACACCCAAAAGAGTCCTGATCATGTCAAATGTTTAATTTTTCACCTGAAACAAATTAAAATCATACAAACTAGAATCTCTGATAGCAATCAGATCTAATGTGCAGATATTATCAACTGCGGGGAATAAAAAGCCCTGATCTTTTTTTTTTTTTTTCTTTTTTCCCAATACTCTTTAGGATCCATTTTTTTTTTTGCAAGTTGCCTACAGACATACAAAATTAATTCAAATATCTCCTACACCAAAGAGGATCTCATTTGACTTTGTACTATCCATAAAAATATATGCTTGAAAATCTGGTTCACAAAATATTTCATTTGTTTACTAAAATGAAATATATAAACTGTCAAAATACGTATATAAACTCAATTTCAGAATTTGTAAAGATCACAATTTAGCTACAAAATATACCAACCATCTACCTGTTTTCAATAGAATATTTTCTTACAAAGATACCATTACTTTGCAAAATATCGCCTACCTTACAAAATTAGTCCAGAAATTTTGCACTACTTTCAGCATATAAACCATATATTAGAACCTCATTAACCCTTTGGTATATATCTTCAATTTTTTATCATTAATCTTCTATTTGGTTTAATTGTTCCAAAGCACAGTAGAATCTCCAGACAGAATAAGCAATGCATGTTTAATTGTATATATAATCAGCACACAATTTATTTTTCAATTATAGATGTTTATCATGCCCAGCAACTAAGAACAAACTATTGTGAAATCATTCTTCAGAAACCTTTGTTCACCAGTACTTGTTCTACCACACTGTACTTGAAAATAATTGGATGTGTTGAATTCTTTTAAGAAAAGTCAACACCTTATTTCATGTGCCTCAGACATTTTCAGGACTAGGCCTCTCTGCTTTCTGCAGATCCTTTCCAAATTTGATAAACACAGCAAACACTGAAAAAAAAAAAAACCAACCCAACTTTTTAAACTGTCAGCTGAGAAAGAGTAAACATAATTTATACCTCTAGCAAAGTATTAGCCTTTTTTATCATCTGCACCTGTAAATAACAACTTACAGGTTAAAATAAAAATATTTACATACAAATAACTGAAAGAAAAAGTAAGGATTGAAAAAGAGTAAGAAATCAAAACGTATACTGGTTATAAATGTTACTAATAATGTCAACTATGGCAAGGATTCCATTTCGTCCACATTTTAACTGTAACCAAATATTGCCTCCGTTACAAGAGGTATTTGTAGAAATTTTCAAAGAAATTCTAATCACCTGCCTTGTAAAACGTGACTGTCCTTTTATTGTAGATGCAATCTTGACTTTATAAAGTTTCCAGTTGTGCCAGCAGGAATTTTGGTGAGGTTTTCTTGTTTCCTTTTTGTACTTTGTCACCAACATGTTGTAAATAAAATCTATATAGTCTTTAAGTTGTGAAATCTAGGTAGAAAAGTTTCATTTTTGACCTTTCATCTAGTTTAAAAAAATTCAGTATAAAAAAAAATTCTCCTCTGAAATTTCAACAGTCCACAAAGGTTTTACCTTCTTTTTCTACACACTTTTATGACAGTAAAGATCTTTCAAAGTTTTTAGCTCTTCAATTAGAGTTTTGTTCTGATTTTCCAGGACTGCAACTCGATTTTCCAGACATTTAACATACTCTTTCTTCTTTCGACGGCACTCTCGAGCAGCTTCTCTGCAACAGAAAAGCAGAAGTAATTGTTTTAGATCTGAGATGTGTCTATTTTATGAACGTTCTGATACTGAACAATGCCAGGGGAGAGAGCTGGCACTGCAATTGTGAACAGAACAGACTGAAAAGTACACAACAATAGGTGGAGAGCATGAAATTTAGCCATATCTGGTAACACACATGGTAGTCGATCTGCAGGGAAAAAACAATTTGTTTTCTCCAAATTGTGTGAGGCAGAAAACACAGCATATTTTGGTCAGAATTTCCAATGGTGTTAGTCGCCGGACGCAGCACACCATACAGATGGCACAGTCGGTAAAGTTAGCTCGCAAGACTCGTAATTTGTCCTTTGAAAATATATTTCAGCACATTAACGCATCAGAGCAGCTCATGTGCACTTCCATACCTGTTCTTCATCAGCCTTATTTCTCGTTTCAACTGCGGATCATCTGTCTTACTTGTCTGTGATGTCAGAGTGACAGGAGATGTCATCACCACCGTCTGAGGAAGGGACGTGGTAGTTGGCGTGGTGCGGATCTGGTAAGTCTGCATGTCTCCCGACGCAGCTGGTGCGATAACAGCGTAAGACATCAAAATGTGCTAGCGTTAGAAAGTTACACGTGCGTTAGCGACGGGTATTTCTAACCGTTTCCAGAAGGCCTACTCACTCTGCACTACCACCTGGTTGCTGGGTACGAGTATCTGTTGACCATCTGACGTCTGTGCGTACTGCAGTATTGTTGTCCCAGGCTGAGTACCACCGGCGTTTGTCATCGTTAGTGTCTGCAGACCTTGCACACCATCTGTACCCGGGCTGGCCAGCTGTAATCCGTTTGCAGCAATGGCAACTGAAAAGAAAAAGGAACATGCACAACCATATTTGTAGCTGTAACGTACAGACAAAGGTCAAGCTGTAGGCTGTACATCTATTCCCACTGCTGAAAACTGCTGCCAGTTTCGAAAGGCTTTTTTCTTGCATCACTTTCAACTATCAGGTCTTGCTGCTGGTTCCTACTGATCGTACGGGGTGTAGGTGGTGAGGTGTGGGCAGTCGGGGAGCCGCAGGGGTGGCCCCTCACTGTGAGGAGGTCTGGGACTGCCCCGGGCCAGACACCAGCTCTGCTGTGGAAATGTACTGAAGAAAGGGCAAAAATCCCAACAGGCAAAGGAGTGGGGGGGAAGTGAGAAACAGCAGTATGAGCACCCAGCTTGAGGGGAGAGGGGAGTAGGGGAGTAGGGGAGTAGGGGAGAGGGGAGAGGGGAGAGGGGAGAGGGGAGAGGGGAGAGGGGAGAGGGGAGAGGGGAGAGGGGAGAGGGGAGAGGGGAGAGGGGGTGCTCCAGGCGCTGCAGCAGGCTGCTTTTTGGTTCACAAGCACAATGAATAGTAGGTGATAAAATCAAAGGAATAAATCCCTTTTTTTTTTTTTTTTTTTTTTACTAACTCCCTGATACTGCAGGAACACTTTTTGGTGTGGCCCTGGTATTTGTAATGGTGCCTTCACACTGATCTTACATTTTGGACTAAATCTAACACTGCTATGTATTGCACAACAACATCCTTTGAATGTCTTGTCTTAATAGGCAACAATTAAGATAATGAAGCATTGAGTTTATCTGGAGTCTTTACATACCAGCCTATTTCCACGTAACAACAGTATTAACTTTATTGACTGTTAGATAAATAACCAAACCTGTTGAATTTCATCTTAGACAAATATATAACAAAAAGAAAATCTGTATTTTGAGGCAAACTAAATAAAAAATGTGTCCAGTGAGGCAGATATTTTGTATAACGTACTGTACTGTCCAGTGCTTGTCTGGTAGATAGGCGTGGGAACGGACATAGATGTAACAGTGGAGACACCAGGACTCTCTTCATCTCCCTTTCTATCACGTGTATCTTCAGAAGAAAGATCTTTCAGAATTTTTCTATTAAAAAAAAAAATGTTTATCAGCTCTAATAGTAGGCAAAACCTATAAGTTACCGCAAGAACAGCTACAAACTACTATCCTTAATTTTGTATTACAGAAATAAACACTAAGATTTTAATGTATAACAGCTTTTGGAAATAACAAAATTTTGTATGAGGTGACTGCCTCAAACTCTTTCTGTAATTACACTTCTGTAGTTTAAATAATCTAGTTTTTTATTTAAATATTTGCATAATTTTATGAGCTAAGAGCAATTCAAGTCATCTACTGATTTATAAAGTATGTGCATGTGCAAATCAGCAGAAATTCCAGATTTTCAATTATTATCCTCTAAAAGTCTTACATGTTTGGACTGGCAAGCCAGCAATGAAAACCTGCATCATTTATAGTAGATTCCAGTAACCTCCAGAAAAGCAGTGCGTCGAAAACTAACACTGCGGCTGCATCATTTCGTTTCAGTAAAAGCTGCATCAGAGTTTCCATCATAAACATTTTCCAGGGATGCGTAACTGGCCTATTAAGAGATTTTTTTGATTTACAACTTCATCCTCTAATTCACTCACGAACAGGCCTTGCATATCCAATTAAAACCAGTTTGCTCTGTCTGTGTCAGAATAAACTGAAAAGGACTAGATTACTATGGAAGAGTTGAAAAATTAGATCTTTTGCTCTTTCAGTACACAGCAAGACTTTACATTTCTTCTCTGCATTTAATTTAGCTCTCGCACAGCTTCACAAACAGCCCATATCCTACGTAACAATACCCTCTGAAAACAGACACATTTCTATATAAAGAGCCTCCAATGGAAGCGTGAATTTTATACATCATACCCCAGGGCCAAATGATGAATTAATGGCAGTTAAATGAAGAGCAAAGCAGAACTGACAACTCCTGATCCCAAACCCACACGGCTAAACAGATCTCCCACAGAAGCTCTGCTTACAGCTTGTATTTTCCTATCCTGGCTACTTTAACTGAAGATTCAGAATTGCTCTTTTCCATCACCGTTTTTGACTGTGTGCAAAACAATAAAATTCCTTCTAAATTATTTTTTCTGGTACGTAGTTCAAGATGAGATAAAGCTGTCAGAAAGTACTAAGAAGAGCGGATAAGACATTCAAAAAATGAAAAGCAGTGGCAGAAGCAGGAACAGTAATTACAGATAGGAGAATCAGGTAGGTTCATAAATTGTCTTTTAAAATTTTCAGAACATTATTGTAAAAAATACTCAACTTTGCGTTAAGTTTCTAATGACTATTATTTGAAAAGTTAAGATGTGGCATTTGACTGCACTCCTCATTTCAGTAAAATGACAGAACTGAGTAAAATTACAGTTGATAAACCATTTTCCCTACACCACGTCATGTTGAACTAAGAGCTGGAGATGAGCTTAAGTCAAAGTTTGCTTGTAGGAAATAATAGCTAATATGGCATCCTCAAAATGTTTACTCCGTGAACAGATCCAATGCATGTTTCAAGAGAAAGAAAACAATTTAGAGGTTGACAGGATATATGAAGCTACTGAAAGAAGTTGCTATTTTGGTTTCCAATAAAAATACAAATTTATTACATGTGGTACTTACCGGTAAGACGGACGACGAGCTAAGATGCCTCGAGCTTTCTGTGAAGAGCCTATGCTATCTGATGAATCCTGAGAATCTTCACTCTCAGACAAAGATACCTAAAAAACACATTCCACGTGGTTATCCGGTACACTTCAGAAGAAATACCCAAAAGAGATTATATATTTTAATTGTATATGAGCTAAAGCCACACAAAAACTAAACAAATGCAAAAAAGAAAAGCTCGAGAGATTCTCCCAAACTGTTTATCACATTAAAAGCTGAAAAACACCCAGAATCTGAAAGCTAGCTGTTCTAGCTGGATTCAACTGCAGGATTAATCAATACAAAATTTTTAAAACAGCAGTGTGGAGAAATACAAATGGTTTATTCTTTTAATTAAAATCTTACAGGCCTAACTATCTTAATAGCTGATGTGGTCTGAAAAGGTGAGCCACTCCCACACATAAATCTGTCTAAGGAGCTGGTGGGAAAGAAAACAGGAATGCCACTTATGTACAAACATGTAAAATACTTGAAATCTTCTACGTAGACAGCCGTGTATTTTGTTGGTCAGAATATAAGAGTCAAATGAAAAGAATATTTAAGGCAGCAGCATATCAGGGAATAAATAAGCAAAGTATTATCTATAAATTTCTCTTTATTCCACTGTGTCCTCGTCTCATTGGCAAGTGTTATTTTTTTTTCTCTGATGCTCCTTATTAAATACAAGCCTGCAAAGCATTTATTTGTACTTATCTGTGTGCCAGCAACAAAAAGTCAAGTAGAATGCATGCAGCTCTGGGGAAAGCATTTCTCACTTAACTGCTGCTACAGGGACTAAAAGAGCAGCCTACTATCAACAGTTTCAAAAAACCTGCTCACATATTACTTTTTTTCCCGCCTTTGAGCAACAAGGCCACAATGTTCACAAATTACAGAAAAAAAATGGAAAAAATAGTCAGTGGAGATCCTGCAACTAGAACACAGTGATAGGAAAGGGATTTGTGGAGACTCAAGTAACCACAACCTACTAGAACAGATGCCTAACTGTTTTCAGCAAAGCGAAACGTGTTTTCTTTTCCATGATCTGATGTTACAGGAACAATGGCAGCTGAAAATGCATTACAGGTTTACTTTTCATGGTTTATCAATTTGACGTCGTATGAATAGATAAGCACAGTACAAAGGATCAGTCACAAATTAATGGGTTTTAGCACAGCTCCTGCAGTCATTCGGCTGAGCAGTGCAGTTCCTGCCCAGTGCCCTGCTGCCCAGAGGGCTCTCTGCAGCCAAGACCTGACTGAAGTAGTAACAGACCCGCCTGTAAACTCCCCCCGGCACCTCTCTGAAGTGGCTTGTACAAAAATCACATGGCAAATGAGGAAGAGACGTAAGCAGAATACTTAGGTACCACAGAAACGGAGCTACAGCACGTGAGGTGAGCAATCAACAGTTCACCCACCATCAGTCAGGTCTACCTTTTCCAAACACACACTTTTCTTCACTGGGTTATTCTACACTCTCCTTATCTGGGTACTAAAGCACGTTGGTTGCATGTCTGTTAAGAGCACCACATAAAGAATTGTGTTCTGCTTTGTTTTTTGTTTGGTTTTGCCTTTTTTTTTTTTTTTTTTTTTTTTTTTTAATAAAGGGAAGCAATATCAAATAGTTTAATTTAAAGACAAAAGGCAACTTCAGGCAATAAATCATTTCAAGGTTAAATCATCATTAAGAATGGTGTATCCCCAAAATACTGTCCCTGAATTGCTTGCTATCTCTTACAGCAGGGCCAGAAAGGCTGCACTGAGGCAGAGTCAGCTGAGTCAGACAAGTCTTTGCAAGTCTTTTCACATCCATAAATCGGTTATTTAAGACATTCTGCAGTTACCTGCACTGTTTGCACCTGAGGTGAGTGGATTACGGAAGAGGACTGAGCTGTCTGGATGACTCCCTGGACCTGGACTTGTTCTCCAGGCAGCTGAACAACTGTCAGGGGAGCAGGACCTCTGAGAGACATCTACAACAAATCAAAGAGTCATTAACAGAAGCGTCTGTTCCACAGTGTTCAGAAAATCTACATCCGTGTAGGAAAACTAGTGAAGAACATACATTAGCAAAAGCTTCTTTTAAGTCTAATTAAGTCACAGAAGGTATCCTTTAAAGAGGCACATTTTTGAGATAGGTATCTGCATACAAAAAAGGCTGCAACAGTTACTTATTTGCCTTAGGTTAGGGGGGAAATCAAATATGTAGCATTATGTGCAAACGATTAAAATGCTGCAACTTAAGTACATGCAGTTCTAAATGAACCACAAAACAGCAGACTTCTTCAGAATCAATCGCTAAGCGAGCATGACTGCTTTCATGGAACTCCTTCCACATGCACAGATAAAGCCCCACATTTGCGGCAGTTTATTTTTTAAAGGTTTGAATTCATTTTAAGAGTGTACTGGACTTTGATAAGCAGAAATAAAAGTGCCTAATAAGTAGCCTTAATTCTCACTAAAGTTAACAGGCGCTTAGGGCACTAAAATCTGAATCAAGACGAAATGATCAACAAGCCTGAGGGCTTAGGACGGATCAGACTAACAGTACTAGAGTAATGCGGAAGGCAGCATGAATAATGTACATATTTGGTGTTCTTGGATTATTTTTTTTTTTTAAGCAACCAGTATGAGGCTATGGTTCAAAGATTTCACAAAGAAGAAATCACAAGAGTTAAGTATAGCAAAAGCTGACAATCTGCTTTGAAAGTTCAAGGCACAAAAGCTGTGTGAAAGACACCAGACCAGAAAGGAAACTCAAGGAGATGAGGTACGCAAGCTCTGCACAGGGAGAAGAACAAAGAGCAGATTTTTCCAAGTAAAAATTACGGCATCTGTTCTTTCATGTTTTAAAGTTATCAATTTCAATAAATGTTGTAGCTGAAATCTAGGTTTAATTGGCAAAAAAGTCAATTACCACTGCTACTCCTATATAAAATACTCTATACATTCTAACGGATTTGTATTTTTGATGCTGAACTCACATGAGCCTGTACACTTAAAAACTGATTAAAGTTATACACGCAGATGCATAAGTAAATAACCAGTTTCCTCACAAAATTTCTTCACTATTTTTATTCATCTGGAATATATGGAAAGATGAAGGGATCATTAAAACTCATACAGCCAACTTTTCGTTTAATACTACTTTTGTATCGTACATCATCATATTAAGTTACAATGGCAACCTCATATAAAAACAGATCAGACAACCAGCCTGTAAACAAGAACAGGATGCTTGCTGATACTCTATCCTGTCTTTGCCTCACGCAGTTATCTAAATTTTGCATCAAAATTGAAATCGCCTCCACAGGGTGAGCAGTGGACGAGCTGCAAAACGTCGCTGTTTCACAGGACAGGCTGCGCAGCGGGGTGGGGGGAGCCCCTCCAGGTGCAGAAAGTTGAATCATGAGGAATTCAGGTTAAAACCTTTGAAAGCGATGTTACCTTGTAGTAAGCATGTCACATTTCCAACTTCATATGATTTATTACATTAAAAACATTCATGCTGGGCTAAAATCCAAGTGTTTCCATGGTGCTGAGCACCCAGGATTGCCATTACTACAAAAGGAGCTGTAAATGCTTTTTCTGGAAAAAAAAAAAAAATGAAAATGAGGCCCTCAATTAATTACTAAGCAGCTCCTGTATGTCAGGTTGATGACGACTTCTAAGGACATACAATCTAACAAAAATGCTGGGCTGCATTTTTGCATTGTATGAGCACAAAAATTAACACTGGTCTTTCGAATACAAGCCATTTTATTAACTTTGTGTCATCCATCAACAAACAAGTACATTTTTCTCAACGGTCTTTTGTTTTTTCTTCTCTGTGTGTTTCTACAACTCAAGAATTAATATAGTTTGTAGTACATAAAAAATGGCTCTTAACTACCTCAAATGTTTGCTGAGATTTGGCCCAGGCTTTACCTGTTGAGCAATATGAGAGAGCTGAGCTGCCTGTAGTGTTGTACCTTGTACAGCTGTTGTTTGTGAAGGCGTCACTGAACTGTTACTGCTGCTCTTGTGCACCTCTTCCATAATCAGCTACAAGAAAAGTAACGAGTTAAATTCAGTTAATGATAAATTTGAACAGCAGATAGGTGCCCAACTTCCACTGATACCTCATAGAATCTCAGTGTATAAAGCTTTTAGTCTTATTTGGACAATTTGAATCAGTTCTTTGTCCTTCGAGGTCGCTTTCTGGAATAGCACAGCATCTTTTGTCACCCAGCACTGTTAGGCCTTCTCACGGGAACAGGAGGGGAAGGACACGGTGGGAGCCCGGCCACCGCCTCGCCCGGGGCTTCGGCAGCACGAACCCCCGTTTCGGGATGGGAGACACGTCCCGTTTCGCCTGACACCGCCTGCGCTCCAGCCGTCTGTCAGCACTGGCTCAGACCTACCCCCTGCTGAAGTTTACTGACAAACCTATTTACTGAATTTCCTGGGTTTTTTCATAATAATACACAAAGTCAAGTCATGAGCTCTAGGAAGAAAACCAAGACAAAGCGTTTATACTAAAGAATATCTTGCTCTAAGTAAAATAATATTGCAAAATAATTTACTCAAGTTACCAGCCAAACCTATTTTAAAACATCTGAAGGTATATAAAAACAAAACAGGGATTCAAAATCAAAGTAGAGAGAACACCGTTTTGAATTTTAAACCCTGCAAAAGTCACTCCGTCTCCATATAACAGTCAGCAACACTTCGCTCATTTCTAAGATTTTTATATGTAACTGTTCAACGTCTTGACAGCATCCCCCCTCCAATATTGGGGGATTTAGTGATGTAAAAATGCATGCTTTTAGGTGGGGTGAGTGGGTGGACCAGCCTAGAGCATTAAAAGATGATCGGTGAGTGTTAAACATTTTGTCACAGAAGGTTTGAAACTGTTGAAAGGACAGTTGCTATGAGACTGGAAATTACATTTCTTTCTGTGGAAATGTGAGTCATTGATTTTTCCCTACTGAGATAAACCACAGCTCTTGCAGCCTGACGTATACTTAGAGGGTAAAAAGTCAATGTACACCAAGACCAGAATCTTGTTCCTGCAATCCATACTCATCTGAGGAGTCCCACTGCTCAAATAAGTTACTAAAACAGGACTTTGTGGAGAGAAAACTGATGGTTGGGCGATACATGAAACCATATCCTTCACAGCGGGGAACAACCGTTCTTCAACACACGATACAGCTTCCCAACATTCTTACGACTATAAACATAAACCAATTTGTCCATAGTTTAAGCTGAAGCAGCAAAATAAAGGCTTCGCTCTGGAATAAAAAGCTCACGGGAGCCAGGCGGTGCTTCAGCCGTTCCCAGCTTCTGGAAACCTTCAGCTAATCAAAACTATTCCGACTGCCTTTGCCGAGACCCTCGTATCGGGCCGGCTGCCAGCGCGGCGGCGTGCCCCCCCCGGCAGCAGCGTGTCCCCCCTGGCCATGGTGTGTCCCCCCGGCCGGGAGCCGAGGATCGGGGCTGACCCCCTGCTCGCACCCACGAGAAGCCAACCCCGGCGCGGGAGCGCAGCAGCTCAATCCAAACGTTTTCTTTTTTTTTCAGTTGCTACCGCTGCAGAGCTCGCCTGCAAGTTGGAAAAACTGTTTTGGCTTTTTGTTTGTTGTTAAGGAAAAAAAAAAAACAAAAAAACGGAGAACTAAAGTAATTTAAGTATCTTGAAGCTACAAGAAGTGAAGGGCGGAATTAAGGGCAAGCACATCTAAGGGATGCAACTTTGTATACTCCCTAGCACAGTTTTAGCTTTTTATAAAGGAAAATCTTCAATTTGTACCACTGCGAAGGGAGACGTACTAAGTGTCACAAGTAAACAGAGCACTGTCAAACTGAAATCCAGTCAACAGCAAAAATTAAAATAAATTTTCCAGTGCTACAGAAATACCCAATTCATTTCTGTAGTGCTAAACCACATTCTGTCTCCCCCCTCTCTCTCTTACTGTTTTTCTCTGTCTTATTGTCCCATGAAAGACTCACAACAGCAGCAAAACAGACTGCAAGAAACAGTGAAACCAGTAGATGTAAAACCACCCAAAATAAACAAACTGGGGAGAAAGCACAAAGGTTTTTGCTGATCTTTCTCTCATAGGTGTGAGGTCCTACTTACAGGAACAAAAGATGAAGTATTTCCCATTATAAATATGATTTTTCAAGTTGACTTCATCTCTGCTTGCTCTGTAATATTTAACTAAATAGTCATCCAACATCTATCAACTTTAGTAAGATAATATTAATTTTAAAAGATTTAGCAGGTGATTTTAACGAGGTGAAAATTATTACTGCATCTTCCACCCTCCACTGGATAAAGGAGGTGTAGTGCGCTATTTGGCCTTGCATGACTTTCTCACAAGACTCCCATGTCCCTGTTGTCTTAAAACAATCTATTTAGCTGGAAACCAAACAATTTTCCATTGGAATGGCCACCAGTGAACACCTGAAACAGCGATTACCATCTATCAGCTTTTAGAAAGACAGTTCCAATGAAAAACCTCAACCTGCAAGTTCTCAGCTTAGAAAAGAAGTACCAATGACAGAAAATATATCAGGCTTTCAGTTTTTTACACCCCAGTTAAAACTATTTCCAACAACAGAATGCATGTGCAGCTGAAACCAGCTGCACAGTTTGGGGTGAAGGAAGAGTTTTACATGCCACAGAGTAATGACAGGAGGAAATTCATAAAAGCAACACCTGATGATTTATTAGCCAGAAAATAATTACTGTTCCAATCTGTAGGAGAACCATGTTTTTATAATCAGATAAGTAAGGATGATGCTTTTTAGAATAAATACAATGCCTCCACGCAGCTACATCTCAAAAGTAATTCAATTTAAATGGTTCTGCAATAGCAGCATTATGAAGTTTGTTTTGAAGGACTTTTAAACTTCCAAGAATTGGCTCTCTCCAGCCAAAGAAACTCATCTCCCTTTAAATGTTTCAAACACCTTCCTTCCTTTCAAACAGAAATAGGAATGTCCCATTTCACTGTGGTCAAGTTTAATTTCTCATCCCGAAGTTCGTATATATTCTCCTAATACCATGTTCCTTAGTTTGAACCACCACTCAAGAAGCACTAAAAAAACCCACCCCCAAATGACTGAGGAGTATCAATTAAAAAAGAAAAAAATAAACAAACAAGAAACCTCCATTCCCACAACTTTCACTAATGCTGATGAAAAATACCCTAAAATGCTAAAGAGATGGCCCCCTTACAGAGTCCGTGAAGTAACAATCTTCACAAGATTTTTACTTCACTGTCCCATAAACAGGGTACTGCTCCTCTTGTCCTTAGTATTTTCTTTTTGCTTGTTTACAATGCAGATTATCTGAGACAGTGATTGTCTCTAGTTAAATGCTCATAAAATTACTACGATCATGGATTGCCAGCCTCAGATGAAGCTTCAAAGCATAATCAGGAAGCAAAGAATAAGATAATGCAATATAAAAGCTGTACATTAAGGCAAAGGGAAGTGGGCTGTAGTGCGAGAGCACCAAAGGAAGAACCAGGTTCTGTTTTTGCCTTTTTAAATCCAGCAGAGGAAAGGCCTGAATGGTACTTCAGTACTGAAATATTTTAAGAGGCACTTGATTATTTAAAAAAAGAGTTTTTAGTCAGAAATCAAAGAATACTGGACATTGAATTTTATTCTCAAATACTAAGTGACAAGAGTCAGAATACTGACATACAGAAATTACAGAAAGTGATTTAAAACATTTGGTGACATTATACTCAAATAATATGGTGAAATACTGGATTCTTTAATGTCTCAAAACAAGCAAATAAACCGTCTTCACCAGCTACAGCACTTGAAACACTGCTCACTTAACTTCACAGTTAAGACACTTGGACGAAGTTTTTCTTCATCCAGACTGACAGAACCATAGTTTTTTCCAGCAATCAGTGAAAGAGGCAAAGGACAGCACATCCTACCAGTTCATGCCAGAAAGCAAAGGAGGAGATTTGAGTCAATGTACCCAGTTACAGTTTTGGATCCCATTTTACAAACACACACGCAAATACTCCTTGTAACTTCAGGAGTACTTTCCATGTGTTTTCTTCCACTCACCCCCTGCCCCAGTCTTCTCCAGTGAAATGAAGCTTAGTGAGCATTCCCATGACAAGCAGCTTCAGAAAGAAAAGCCTGTTGTCTAAAACCGTATATATTACATTGACATAAGGGATCCTGATAATTGTGAGAGGAAATGATCAGTAAGATCATTTACAAATAATTTGCATCCAGCTGCCTTGAATCAACCAGATACTCATCGCCTTGAGTGTTGGAAGACAGGGCTCACAAACCCGGTACTCAGTCAGAATTAATGGGGAAAAGGTAATTACTGTCACGAAGGGATAATCACTGTTTTTCATCGCTCGGTCTCGGGGGTCTCTGCGCAGGAGACCACCGCTGCCCTGCTACTGAAGACCCGGTCCCCCAGCACTAGGGTCGCTCCCCGGGAGCTCCGCGCCGGAGCCGGGGGGGCCCCTCTCCCCGCCCCCGGCGGCTCCTCCGCGGCCCCGAGGCTCGGGGTGTGGGGGGGAAACCGGCACCCGGAGCGAAGCGGGGGCGCGGGGTGAGCAGCCCCAAGGCCGCCCGGCCAGCGCGGCGCGGCGGGAAGTCTCGGGGGGGGGGGGGGGGGGGAGGCTCAGCAGCGGCCGCCCGGCGGAAAGGGGCGAGGCGGGCCCCGGCTGAGGGCAGCGGCCGCGCCGCGGCTCGGTCCCCGGCCTGTGGCGGGGCTCGGCCGTTCCCTCGAGGCCCGGGAAAGAGCGGGCTGCGGGGAGCGACGGCGCTGGGCGCTGAGGGGAGCGGCGCGGCCTGGCCCAGGCCTGGCTTAGGCCCCGGGGGCGGCGGGAGCGGCCGCGCCGGGCCCGGCGGGGGCGGGGGGGGGGGAAGGGGCGGGCGGGCCGAGGGGGAGGGGGCGGCCTCCCCCGGGCAGCGGCGGCGGCCGCTCTTACCTCAGAGGCCCGCCAGGCCCCGCCGGTGGCCGCGCGTGGGGAGAGCCGCCGCCGCCGCCGCCGCGCCCGTCTCCGCCTCAGGAAACCGGCGCCGGCGGCATCGTAAACACGGCGGGCCCGCGCGGGACGCTCGGGGTGGGCGGGCTGCGACCATAGAGTCCCCGCGGAGGCCTCGCCTAGAAATCCCCACCATAGAGTTCCCGCAGCATCGAGCCTCGGCGGCGGAGGCTAGAGCGTCCGCTCTAAGCACCGCCCCCAGCCGGCGGTTGCCAACCGCGGGTACCATAGAGAGGCGGCGGTAGAGCGGCGCTGCCGGCACCGGGGCGGAAAGGGTGCCCCTGGCGGCCCGCGCAGCGCGCAGGCCGCGGCCTCCCCCCGGCGCTTCTCGCCTCCCAGAAAAAAACACGATTATTTCCTGTAATCCCCAACCAGGACGCGGGTGTACACAGCCACGCGTAAAACAAAGCACTAAACAGTAGGGAAAGTGCAGCGGGGTGGCTTTTACCCCCGGAAAGGGCCTGTTCTGGCCTTACAGAGGAGGGGCACAACGGTCAGTGCATAAGCCTGAGCTGCTTCGCTTTTATTTTTAATCTTTAGAGCAGCTGTATTAGTGAAAAGGAATTTCAGGCATTGCACAGTGACTGCTTTAGGCTAAACAAAGGTCAAACGTGAAGAGAGAGGGGAGGGTTTTGGCTACCATTCCTCACCAGCAGGCAGGAGAGGGCAGATTATTTTTTTCTCTGAATTAAAAGTTTAAAGACTGTAACCAGCAGCAGAGTAATGGGGCGACAACCCCCTCTGGGTCTCACAGCACCATTTAGGATCACAGTAAGGAGATATATTTACCTGGATTTTACATGTTTTACAGGAATCATCAATGCGAATGGAAACCTTTCCCATGAGTTTTAGCAGCTCCTGACTTGTCCTAACACACACTGTAAAAGATTGTATTAGAAGGGGGTTTTATTTAAAGCTTTAGTATAATACACTTTTTTTTTTCCCCTCGCTTCTACATAGAACACAAATTATTTTGTTGGCAGTTTCCAGTGTTTGTTTTATTTTAGTTTTACTTTCCTGAAGCCTCCCTAGCTCTGACTTGGTTTACCAAGCACTTCAGCTTTGTGAAATCAAACTAATCAATGTTAGCAGATGAAGATTCACAGTAAATCCTAAATATGCTTTGTATTCCCCCAGCAATACCTTCCACAGCTACTGCTGAAAAGCTTCACAGCCTCAAGGTTTCTCTTCCTGAGAATTATGCAAAGTTTTACCTTATACAATTAGTACTACGCTCATGCTACATAAAGTTACCATACCAAAGAATGTGCCGGGGCCGGAGCTGTGACAACGAGCACAAGAATCTTCAGACATTTGGGAAATTTGATCACTCAATTCTAAATGTGTTTTAAGATGTTAAGATGTTTTCCCAATATTAAGCAATTAATTTCAAAATCCAGGAAGTATTTACTGAAAATGAAATGTTTTCAAAAGAAACCACGGTAAAATCACTACTCATAATTTTTTAGGAAATAATGTATCTAAGTAGTCTTACCCAGAAACATACAACCATTTATAGGTACATGCACAGACAGCAGCTGGTGTTAGATTATAATATTAATCACGTCCTCAGCGGTACTAAACTGTATCTTAGCATTTATGAATATTTTAAATAAATGTTCATAAAACCTCCATGAGTAGTTTTGGACAGCAGAGGTTATCAACTGTTGTATCTCAAATGCCACCACTTTATTTCATCAGCTCATACCAACCCTGATGTTGACGCTTCAGCCCTCCGGAGGACAAAACCCCTCACATCTTGCTGGGAATTGCAAAGGTTAAATCTGTAAATCTCTTGTTGAATTCCAGTTCAAAATAAAACATAGCAATCCTGAATCCTAACCAGAAAATGAATAAAGAATATTTAACACTGCAGTAAAATCTTAAATATAGCTAGGTCATGCTTAAAACTGCATTTAGTTCATCCTCAACAAGCGAGCTCAGTTTAACTCTGATTTCAGCAGCTAAATGGCTGCAGGTACAAGCCCACTCTGTCCAGCCCAGCAGTGCAGGGAGCTCAGCTCTTCACAGCTCCATGTCTCACATTTCTAGACAGAAGTGACTTAAGATATTTGCAAAAATACTTACAAGTTCTCCCTTTCACCAGGACAAATGCTAACCCATGTTTGCTTCCTTAAAAAAAACAAACAAACCTTCAGAGAAACAGCAGATGAAGAACTAAGCAAGCAATCAGGCATCAATATTTATTAACACAAGACAAAGGAAACACAATCAATGCGTTAATGAAACACTGTCCAGCCAGATGTTAAAATTTAAAAATGTATATCTAATCTAATTTTAAATAAATAAAAACTTTATACATAATTACATAATGTTGTAGTCTGAATTTGACAATGGTAAATAGGTTAACAGAAATTAAAGAAAAATTGCATCTAGGGCTAAAATTTATCTCGTTTTTACAACCTTCTTCTTAGGACAGTTAGTATGACACATCTTAATTACATTTATTTAGATTGGAAATGCAGTGCAAATTTTAACAAAACAGGAATTGAAATTACCTGTACCCACATATTTTGCTTAGGGAATATTCATTAACAGTAAGACATACAAAATATTTTCGTTCAAAGTGTTAAGAACTCCTAGTTTTGATGTTTCACTGCAGCTGTTATAGCTTGGAATCTGATGGACAATGGTAGGACATAATTTCCCTTTTGCAGCTGGCTGTGCTGCAGAGTCAAACCGGCACGGAGAGTCTGCCTGTCGGGACTCACCGCTCGAGTCAGCGGTTACGGAAAAGCACCCAACTCTCAACCTGACCATGCAACATCAGCGGCCCTGCCAATTTTCTGAAGTTAAGTATCTCAGTTTGTCCTTGTATGGGAAGGTGCCAAGCAACCGCCGAAAGGCAGAACGGTCACCTCGTTTGACAGCCTTCCCGTGACAACCAAATAATCACCTGTCAGTTTGGAAGAACAAACTGACCCCAACCTCAAAGAGGCTAGCAATGAATAATACTTAGCACTTAGTGCTGTACAGTTAGTTACCTCACAGGGATGTTGTAAGGATTAGATAATCTCCTCATCTACAGAGGAAGAAACTGAAGGAGTGAGATGACCCGTGGAAGGCCTGGTGGCAAGTCATTAGCAGAGCTGGAGTCAGAAATCGGGGTTTCCAGATTCACAGCTCCACACTTCCCCCTCTCCAGTACGTTGCTTTTCACTGTGCCAAACATGGACAAAAGCATCTGATAAAGTCAAAACCAGCCAGCTGCTATATGTCACTTACTGGCGATCAAGAATGGAATGTTATCTCATTCTATGGGCAGGAGTGTAAACTTACAGTTCTCCAACACAGAGAAATGTAAAATGCCAGGATAAAGATTAAGAGTACACAATAAACTTGCAAGATAAAACCCCAAACCGTAAGAAACTATCAATACCTAGCCAAATAAAAACCAAGTTAAAAAAAAAAATCCGTATGCCATTCAAAAAATGCCATTTCAGAAAGTCAGTCTGCCACATACTGGAAATCTTTGATCAAATTAATACATGCATTTTTTATTTTTGAAAAATCGCAAGTAAAAAATAAAAGACAATCCTAGAGTTGCACTTAAAATCCACTTCAATGGACAAAAAGTATTCGCCGAAACTATTTATCTAAAGCTTTAATTTGAGTAAGAAAAAGGTTGAGACCATCAGATTTTTTTCTGAAATGGGCAACAATGAAGTGAAGCTGTACTGCAAGTCACTTTGCTGTGCAAGAAAACATAAAAAAGTGATGCATAACATTTAACAACAAGCATTTGCTGGCTGAAAAGGGAGAGCAACTTTGTGCATTTTACACCCTAAATAAGTTGCAGTACCAACCGTATTAGTCACAGTTACACCTTCCCTCACTCTGTGGCCAATTTATTACAACTAAATATACTGAAGACTTCATGCGCAGGTATTTTAGGACACATGTCTTAAGAAACCAGACAGTATCCCTGCTGCTAACGGAACAACCCTTCACACCCAGGCAGCAGCATCAAAACTGCATCCACGGTGTTCTCCTACTACCGTGTGGAGATACAGAAAAATAAATTGTTCAAAAATGTGCACCTCTAAACTGAAGCTTTTGCAAAGAACTCTTATGTCCAGACTTGTTATAATAACTTCCAATTTTTAAATCGATTCCCTCTCCAAATACTTCTCAAAAATACCTTCTGGAACTTCTTATCTATATTTTAATGCTTCTGTCTTCAGTGAAGAACAGAAGGCATCAGGAGCTTTTCACAGACAAAACTGGGGTTTCCTTACAGATACGACCGAGTTCTGCTCCAGTAACTGCCACAGAACCTTCAGAGTTCATACTACAAACCTGATTAAAACTGCCTAAAAACTGGATGAGGTAATCTGGAACATTTTAACAACATGTTTCTTTACACTGTATACCACATTTGACTCAAAAAACCCCCAAACCTGCTGCAGTATCTGGTATCAGCTCTCATTGCTTCCAAAATTGTATTTTCTTAACACCCGCAGGAATTTAACTGTTCTTAAAACATTATTAAGCCTTAGACAGAAGAAAGGTAATTTTGAGTCAAAGCTTAAACACCGTCTTTCCCTCAGCCTGGTGTGCAGTTGCTTCCCAAGAGCAGCGTCTACCCGCTACTCTAAGGCTTCTGTTTCTTCACATTTACTAATGTGAAAACTGACACAGTATTTTGAAGGCTGGGTTATTAATTTTCACAAAGTTGTTTAACAACGTGTTTACCAGATTTGCTCTGTCTCACTTTTGTGCCTCCAATTTAAAACCCAGAATTATCTAATTCTTTCCAGTGAATGCTTTGAGGAAAACTGGGTTCTTGCCTCCCAGTTTACATTAAAGTCTATTTACAATATTTCTTGCTCTACCAAGAGCGAACTGAATGGAATAGTGACTGAATTGCACAAACAGTAGATTTAACTGTGTGTCAATCTAAACATTTTTTTTTTTTTCCCTTTAAACACAAGGTTCACAGAGGGTGGAGGCAGAGGCTGTCATTCAGGTGCATCATTTCAGTTGAGCATTTTGGACTTGCACTGCGATTTCTGCCAAATTCCACGTTACAGTTTAAATTCAGCCTCTTTTAGAAAGATGTGCCTTAAAATCATAGATTTCTACATGCTATGACACACTTCTGGCCAGCAATAAAAGACTACACACTGAAATAAGAAAACTTGTGAAA